TGATACCCAAATTTCTGATCTCACAAAGTTGAAATGAACGAAAAACAGCCTCCTCTGTTACACATTATAGTTTCTTATATGATGTCAAATAAGACTGCAACAAAATGTTCAATATCTGAACTCTGACAAAACCAAAATAATGCTTTTGGGCTCTCCTTATCAACTGCACATCTGTGTCATCTTAAGTTTGATCGCTGACAGTGTTGGAATTAGTGCAATTGCTCAGGTCAGAGATCTTGGTGTCGTTTATGATACCTGATACCTTCCTGTTCTTCTGCATGTGAACTTCATGTTCATAATGTTGTGAGGGTGTCTATTTTAATCTTAGTGACATTTCCCATATCTATTCATGTCTCTACTAACCTGTTATAGATAACCCACTGCATGATTTTGCTAGACTTCATTATTGTAATACAGAGCTTATTGTGTATTCAAACTAGCTGCAATATGTTTGGAGCTCAGCTACTGGAAATTTCACTAAAACTAAGATATATGATCAGATGTCTTCTGTTTTGTGTGGATTTTAGAATAGAATTAAAAAAAGTTGCACTCAACTTTTAAGTCTTGAATGGTTTAGGTCCTGACTATATCTGTGAACTTTTATCTCCTTAGACAATTGCATACTATTTGTATTCTGGACATCCATTGATTCTCAAAACTAGGCACTGAATCGTGGGAGATGTGTTTTCTGTTCCTTTGCTCCAAGGTTGTGAAATGTTCTCCCTGCACAAAGCAGGCCTTGTAAGTCGATCTGCACTTTTAATTAATGCTCTTGACCTTTGTTTTTATATTTAAGTTCAATATTTAATTTTAAAGAATTTTAATAAAATACAGTATGTATTCATGTATTTCCAATAATTTAAATTAGTTTTATTGTACAGATTGCTACAGTGCGTAAACTTAAGATTGATGCATTTTAAAAACCTAAAAGATTACAGAAGTCACCAATATGAGGAAAACTAAACAGTTTTATAGCCATATTTCAAAGTGCGGTTCTGGTCTTTAACAAGATAAGCTGTTGGCTATGGCTACAAGTACAATATAGTGTACTTTAACTATATAGATTTGAATTAAAACTATGGGAAATTATATACTGTATGTGTGTCTGTGAATATTTGCCACTAGTTTTATAGAAATGACACTCGGCTATTCATGGTGTTGCAAAGTTGCCTCTAAAGTTACCTAGCATTAAGTCATCCTTACGTTATGGTCCTGATTTAAAAACCCATTTGTCTGCAGTCTATTTTCGGTGTGCATTCCTATCACTGTGTACTGATACCCCTATTCTACTAACAGTGCTGAGTGATTTGACACATTGAAACCCCCAATGGAAAAGTGAAAGCATACAGTGCACCCACTAAGTGAATTCCCAGATTTTAACATTGATTTATTGTACTTAGAAATGATAAGATATCTTTGGTAAAGTTCAGTCTCACGTTCAGTTCTACTTCTAAATCTAAAATCAAAGTCAAAATCATCATTGCTGATTACCTACTTGCATTTCTTAAATCAGCCAGTATAATCTTCTAGAGACTAGATGTCAGTAGTGACTAACCTCACATCCACAGAGCAATCCAAGCACAAGCACAGAGCATGAGACAGCATTACAAAATAGGGAATGTACATTTACATTTAATCTATGTCTTTGGGTGGCACAATGGTATACGGGTCAGCATTTCTGCCTCACAGGGCTGATGCCCTGGGTTCAGTTCCAGACCTGGAGTGCTCTGGTTTCCAACTACAGTCCAACAACACACTAGTACTGTAGGTTAATTGACTTCTGGGAAAATCGGCCCTGGTGTGTGTCTGTCCTGTGATGGCCTGGTGTACTGTACATTCTTACCCTGATTAGAAAATGGACATTAACTTTTGCAACTTTTCTTAAAGTTGGAAGAACAGTTTAGAACTGATTAAGTATTCTGCCTGAATTCTGAACTCTTTTTTTGAATCTAAACTCAGGACAAAGACAGACCTCTTGTTTGAAAATACCACTGAATCGCTAAGAAAGAAGAAAGAAGTGAAAACAACAAGCTAGTGAAACCAAATGATTCCTTTGTCATAGATTAGAAAGCAAATATTGCTGTTCCCAAAATGCTTTTGCCTACATGTTTCCATATAGGAAACTAAACACCTGTAACTAGGCTGTTTTTCAAACAGGTGTGTTTTTACTGCCCTTTGTAATTAAAAAGCAGTAACATTTATGAAAACACATACAGTAGTTAGGACTACCAGTCATGTCTTTTTTTATTCAGTATATTTACTTGACAAAAGTAAACATCAGACATACCGTATAATATGAAAATTAAAGTGCATACTTTCATCCAACAGCAGAGTTCCTTCCAAAGTATTGTGAAAGGACAGCAGGTTCAGAAAAAATGGCCGCTTTTGTCTGTAAGACATTCAGCTACCCTCAGTCACCTGACCAATCGGTAAAAGACAATGATTTAACTATTGATTTCTTCAAATATGGTAACTTAATCATAAAAGTGAAATTTGTAAAACATAGATAGTTTATTATCATATTAAATCACAATCTGATAAGCAGGCTCTCGTACATGATGATGATAACAAATGAGACCTTTGACAGCACAGCAACCACAGCTGCCAACAGTTCATTTACTGTAAGTCTCACTTTAGGATCTGAGGTAAGAGTGCAAGACTTCAGTATAGGAAACACACTCAAACGTCCCCAGGTACATAGTAGAAATACTAACACATCATTTTGCTGTTCAGGCATTCTGTCAGGGTTGAGTACAGTATGTCCACTATAGTGATATTCATAGACCTGTTACCAAGGAGATTGTTGGGTAATCACTGAGAAACAAACGGAATAATGTTGTGACTAGTAATAGTAAAGATTATTTTGCTGTTTAAGGCTTCAGTGATGTTGAGATTTACAAGAAGAAAAATGCAGCCTCATACAGTAAAACTTTCTATTTGGTGTATTCCTTAATAAAGCATTTCTGCAACATACACTGAGAAAATGATGCAGAAATTACATCCTTCTTCATTGATCACAGATAATACCTTAAACTGTGGAAATTATGGTTTTTGATTCTTGCACTTGCTGTAATGCCATTACAGAAGCTGAGCAACATTATTCCACCAAGCTTTTAACAAAGCACACACACCAAGAAAAACATTGACAAATTTAATTAAATAAAAATCTTATGGCTTTATATATTTTTACTAAAAATGTATTTTTACACATTTTTGTTTAACAGATAACGAACCAAAATGTGCTTGCTCATATAAGAGCGTGGAGTCTAAGAGTTTTGTTCGTAACATTATGATCTCTTTCTATGAAGCCAGTGTAGTGAAGCATTCCAAAATAAATTAGAACAAAACCTTTAAATGTCTACAAAATGTTTTTGCGTATGTACTGTACACTCATGTATCTCCTATATACTGTAGATTTGTAGAAACTGCCTTCAATCCCTGTATATTGATATAATTAAGGCTATTTCTTTGGTTTCATCTCTTATTTAGCCATTTTGTTTTATTATTACTGATGTTGAAAGCATGAGACTTCACCTGAGAACCAGACAACCAATATGTCTTATATTATGCACCTATATTATTGTGTTTTGCCTTTAGGCTTCTGTTCTTCTGCATCTAGTGTCAGAACTCATTACACTAAAATGTGAAATGAATTCACAAGTGCAAATACATTTAATCAGAAAAACTGTTTTGTGTTTGCATGTATGTATGACAAGGGGAATGTATCGTATGTGAAGGGACTTTTTGTTCCTTATTAAATAATATATATACTGCATATATTTTTAGGTTAAAACACGGTGGCATGCAAGAACACACACATTTTCATCTGTTTCATTGGAGTAAGCAATAAAGAAATTTCCTGCAAAATTCAATTTTACAAATCTGCCTTTAGCCGATTAAACAAAACAGCTAAACGTATCTGTAGGGGTTAGGAACCTTATTGTATTTTCAAGCTTTCACATGATAAAAAGCATGGGCATTCATATTGGTTTTTTTTAAACAGAGTCCAATACAAATTGAGGAAGTGTCAAACCAGGGCAATAAACAACAGATGATTAGACTAAAGAGAAAGATGGATGAGCTGGTTATCTGATTATGTGAGAGGGCAAGGAGGACATAGTCTGAAAATAGTAAAAGGCTACAGAAACATCAGGACATGGCATAGACAGGGTTCATCTGTGAGGACGTGGTAGAGTTTATCTCTTCCTCTGTCAAAAAAAAACTGGCTTCATTGAAAGGAGTTCTGCACTGTATTAGTGGGTTTATGTTTTGACAGATTTGGAGAGGCACAGCTGTGTAGTTTTATCTTTAAGTGATGTGTTACCTGGCATCGCATTGAAATTGCCCTGCTTGCCAAAGGCTCTGTGTGCTCCTCATACTTAAAGTGAACAATTAAAAGCACTATTTTAAATAAAAGTGTTTACCATTTGACATACTGTAAAGTAAGTCACTGTTGGAACTCACCAATAAAATTTGAAAGGACTTCTGCACTGAAGAAAAGTGTGTTGGGACTGTAAATACAAATTAAAGCCGTATTCTTCTGAAATCCTATATTTCATAAAATAAGCAGATTAATAAATACAATCCTGAATAAAAAGCCTATTGTATTGAGCCGATAGTATGTGAGAACTCTTGTGTAACGGAAGAAACGATTCAGTGTCATGTGTGCCAAGGCTAGATGACCTTGTACAGGCTGAAGGTCCACCAGGTAGGTACAGTGCAGTTCTATTTCTTAGTTTATAACTCTTCAAGATGGTCTTCTCCCCAGCAAAAGAAGAATTGTACGGTTAAGCCATTCCTACGAGCATAGAGACATACACACCTGAGCCTTTGGAAGAAAATATTCCTAGGACATCGTTGAACTGCATTCCCTGATAGTATAGGAGCCCACTGTTCCATCATGTCCTCCACTTATGCTGAAGAAATGTGAGTGGTTGGAGTGTTTGGGGTCTATATTTAGCTGGTTGATGTAAGTTACATACCAGTGACAACGGACACACTGACACCCCCCAGTTTCCTTCAGTAGCTGGCATAGTGAAGACCTGGATAGATCGAACTACACAGGTTGACCCCTGAGAGCCTTACCTTCAGACAGAGCCTAGTACACACGGGACCTCTGGACAGGTATGAAAACTGTTCCCTCCACTTGTACCTACATTCTTACGTGTACAGTATCTAAAATATTGAAATTTTGTACCGAACTGCGACTTGTCATCTTTTGAACAGTTAGTTTTTTTCACATTTATTGTTATGGTTTTTGAGTAACTCTTCATGTGAAGAAATACTTTGTAAATGAGATTTAAAAAAAAATTAATCATACAATTTTCAAAAGCCTGCAAGTGCCACACTTTTAATAAACTTTATTCTGTGTTGGTTTTGAATTATTATTTGAATTTTTAATTAACTACTCCATTCAAATGGAGAGTATACTACACCTGTTTTTGGGTCAGTTTTTTTGTCACATCTTGTAAAAAGCGCAGTAATTTCAAATAAAGTATTTCATCAGCAACCCAGACCATGATATGTAATTTTCAGACTTTTCTTTAGATATTAGCTTTTTCAACAGTATTAAGAAGCTTGTTTTAACACAACTTAGTGTTATTCTAATGTATTTTTTTCTTTGCAAGGATGAGGTTTTCCCTCCTCCATTCAGGCTAATGTAAATTAAAAATGTATATGATTTTTCTGTGGTTAAGGTCAACCAATGCCTTTTCACAGTCTACAGTTATTTTTCATCAATTTGTACATAAAGAGAATATAGATTTATTTCAGCAGAAGTCACCATTGATGAAAAATACACAGAATAACCCTTTTCTCTCTTGTAATCCATGCACAAAAACTCATACTAAATCGCTTAAACATATGGAGCTGGAAAATTCAGAATACTTAAACTTAAGGTGATCACAGTTAAATTCTCCACTGTACAGCATAGAACATTAAAGAAACATTTGAGGGAACCTCTGTTTTAGAACATTGTACTGTATATACTGTATAGTTTGACTTGTCACTGCCATTTAACAGAAAAGAGAAAATATTTTCTTAATTCCCAGAAGAGTAATTCCCAGGACAAAGGAATAATAGCAATGTCTTTGTTTTGGGTTCCTGTTTCTTGTCAAATGCCTTAATGATGAATGCCCATCTTCATAGCCTTCGCCTGCTCTGTTCTTCGCCTGCCTTGAGACTTTCACACCTTCACACCGAAGAGAGAAATGATTTTCTTCGAAAGTATCAAGATACAGAAAAACAACACAGTATTGCTCTACAGATTATTAAGAAATAATTCTTCTCTCATCATCTCCACTAATTAAATGATGAACATGGCCTTAATCTGGCCATTCTTTCACTATTAAGGAATATTTTGTTGAGCAGACTTTAACATCACCCTAGTAGGCTTCTTCATGCTGCATCAAGTGGTGCAGAGAATGGGTAAGAATTCAGAGAATGAAGATGCAAGTTTTTTTGTGACAGGAGTAGTGTCACCTTTGCAAATTTACAGCTGGGCAGGGCAACAACAGGAGCATCACATAAGTAACCTGATACCAACTCTTGTCACTTAAAGTGAAGGCCTTGAATAAAACAAAGTTATCTAAAAGGAAGTGTTAGCTCTTTTTTCTCCCAAACTTCAACTAAATTCTAATCTGCAGATTTGAGACTTTGCATGTGTGAGAACTTGATATTATCTCAGCTTGTCCATGCAATGCTCATTTTTCATAAAAAAGACGACTGACATGACTCTTGGTGAATTGGCAGGAGAAAGAAATGTAACATGTGTTTCTTCTGTGCTTATTTTAGTGTCTGAGGGTCAGCTTATCAGAAACCAGAGAGAGTCATGTCACATACCATGATGACAACCAAGGAGAGGAAGATGCAGGCAGCAGCCATTGTGAGGGAAATCCAAGGATCCAATGGTATGATTGCATTAAATCTCCATGGTCAATCCATCTTTGTGACAGACTCCTTTTAATCTGTTGCATAGTGTGGTAATGCTTGTGTCTGTCTGTGTGGCTTGCCATAAATAAATCAATGGGATGGTTCTGCTACCTATGGTAACTGATTGTTCTGTAGTTGTCCTTTTGAAATCTATTTCTGGGAGGAACAACTGTGTGTGGCTGTTGGGAAGGCATGAAGCTCTGCGACAGCTGATGAACATTCCACGTGGATAGACTTTCAGTGTTTGATTGGAACCTGACATCTTCATAAGCTCTAGAGCCTTTGAGCATCCAGCAACATTGGACAGAAAACAACTGAAAAGTCACTGAAGTGTCCACATTATACAGTACTTATGTACACATATAAATTAACGCAAACATTCATGCTAATTTTGTAACTGTAAAATGGAAAGCTTAAATAGAATGTCTGGAGATTCAGAAAAACAGAGCTTGACTATATACAGTACTGAGAGATATTAGAACCCAAAAGCACCGTTCACACATTCTGTATACTGTAAGTAATTTTCTATACTAAGCATAACATTTTGCCATGATGGCCACATAATGAGTTAATTCCTGGGAAAACATTATTCTTTGTTTTGATAAAGGGGCAACTAAAAACATAAGGCGGCTTAGCTCTGCTAATTTGTGTAACATGTTTTCAGTGGTGAGAAACAATCCAGGCTACATGCAGGTTAAAGTTATATTTTTCTTTTTCTCAGAGGGAGTATTCAATATAGCAACTCCATGCGGAGTAGTAAAGGTCAGGATATCTATGGATTAATGTACTCGGAAAGAGGACCCAGTGAAATAGCAGCCCTGTGATGTTCAGAAAACTGCTGAGCTCACGAAGCATGTTTAAAGTAAAAGAGTAATGCCAAATTCTATATGTTTGATCAAAAACTTCAGAAAAAGCACATTCCTTTGCTGTCCCAAATTATTATTAAGCATAGGGCTTTACTGCTTAAACATATCGATACATGACATACAGTAAATATTATACAAAATGTGTTATGAACTTTGCTGAAAACAAATGTAATAATTTTACAATTACAATCACGATAATACAATTAACAATGGAAGAAAAAATGTTTTGAAAAATATGTAAGCAATCTTCCATTGCAGTTTGTTATAGATGTGGCATAACGAAATAAATTGACAAAGTTAAACATAATCTACAATGTGTTACCTCAATTTTGCTATAATTTAATTACATTTAATGAAAATTAAATGTAATTTGGTTTAATTAAACACTTTACTTTGTAATGCTCTCCCATTACTTTTTTCATCAATATAAGATATAAACTTATTAAATTAACTTAAGGTACTGCTTACGGGTAAACCCTATTATGTAGTTATGCATAACAGTGGATCATGAGATTGGTTGTTAGATGTTTTTTTTAAAGGACACTAAACATGAGAGATTTCACATAAAGAATTGATACTTATTTAATAAACTAATTTAACAGTGTTAAAGGGGTTTATAGGACCTAACCATTGCAGCCTTTGCTTGGAGAACAGGTTGGACATAATCTCTTCTGTACTGTCATTAATCAGCTATAACTAGATTTTCCCAAGTTGCGGTATGGTTGAGAGAATGTGGAGGGAGTTAATTTCATTTTCTGCTTACATGTGGCAACTGGGGACACAAACCTAGCAGCGCTGCGTTTTATCTTTTTGGCCCTATAGATCTACTGAAAAGTGGAAAGTTGGTGCAAATTTTGGAGGATGCACATACATTGGTTTTATCTGTCTTTTATAATGGTGAGCTCATTTAACTAAGAAGAGATTATTTCAAATTGAGAGATAGACATAAAAATGAAATAATTTGTGATTAAAGTGTATTTTGAAATGTTCATAAAAACTTAATTTCCACAAGTCTTAAAGACTCTCTGGGGCAGATCTCGCTACCATTCTCCACTACCACCTTCACTTCTGTTACAATTTATTCATTTTTATTCCAATCAGAATAATCATAATCCTCAAATCCTCAGCAAGCATCAGGAATAGGTCAATGTACAGTAGCATCAGAAAGATGCCATTAGAAACTAACTTACATCAAAGTTATTTTATCCTCATTGTAATTATGCCACAATATAAAAATGGTTGAGTTGGGTAAAAGACAAGAAAAGAAGAGCTTTGCCAAACTATTATTGGTTCATTTAATGATTTATCTTTATTTTAACAGAAACAAAACCACTATTACTTATACAGTAGAAGGACTGTCTATGTTATACAGTTTATCACTGTTGCAGCTGAGTTCAATGCAAATACATTCATTAGCAAAGAAAATACTGTCTGTTACATTAATTAAAATATTGATCCTTCAGTCTAATAAACAAGTGCATACGTGCTTATGTCTTCCTTTATAGATTCTGATTCTATGGACTTGGGAAAGAAGATCAGTGTCCCCAAAGACATCATGCTAGAGGAATTATCACTGCAGTCCAACAGGGGCTCTCGCCTCTTCAAAATGCGCCAGAGGAGGTCAGAGAAATACACTTTCGAAAGTTTCCAGAATGAAACCAACATGCAGATGAACGTGAGTATGTCCAACTGGGTACTAAAGAAATGGGACTTACAGAGTAATTACGAGAGAATTATTCTTCCTTAGTTTCCAATCAGGATAGGATGATGCTTTGTTGAACCTCCTCATTTCTGAAAGTTATGCAGTGTAAAACATTTTGTGTGAGTTACTTTTAAAACCACCTCTCTAAAGCTTCACAAAGATTGATAGTAGGTGGCCCACTGCCTAGTGACACCTCAACAAGTGGATTTGTACTATAGGTGACTTGCATTTTGTAAAAGTGTGAAACTCAAGTAAAAGTTGAAACTTAAAAAAGAGTTTTCTGACATTTTTTAAGAGAAAACGCTGTTCAGTATCTGAGTACGAGAGAACTGTTCAACAAAGTCAACTACTGTTTAACTCCTCCACTTATAGATGTTATGCCATTGTACGTGTAGCAGGCTGGCACAAGGAGTGGATGGAATTACAGACAACATGCCTTTAGAGGCCACCATAAAACTTTTACTCTTTATAAATAGACACAATGGATGATAATTAGGCAATTTGTTAGGGCTTATTGTTTCGTATTAACTGTAAAGGACATATTTGATGTCAGATGGAGTTACTGTAAATTTTAAGATCTTTTGATGCAAAAAGAATTTTCCCTATAGCCTCCTTCGCTTCAGTGATCAATATGTGTTTTTATGTGGGTAGAACTTTAGGCCCACCTTGACTGAGGGTAGGCTCTGTATCAGCCATCTATTCACAGTGTTGGATTATTCATATCATTAAAGGCAGGTAAGAGGTACACTCTATCTCCTTGTAATAAGTATTAAAGGTAGGGTTAACTTTCTAGGTGAATAATACACTGTAATGATGCAGATTGCTAATATTATGACCACTAATAACCATAAATTATCAGTAGAGAATAATTGTCTTTCATGATTATCCTAATCTTTGTAACTAGAGATGGCAGATGAGGTAAATTTGGTATAGTATGTTGCTGTTTGAACAGTACAAAGTAAAATGGTCCTATTTTGACCATCTGGTTCATGACACCCTGACCCTGTCATTCCTACTTTTCCTTCTCATGTTGCTGTATGGTTTTCATGGGATGTGATCTTTGCCACAGATCTTTCTTCTGATTGAGGCAGTCAAGAGCTAGTCTCCAATGAGTTTTCTGTCTTTGGAATGTCCTCAAGGACAATGAATCACATGTCACAACCTTCGAAAACCCATTTCCTCTTGTGACTAAAGGTTACACTTGCATGCTTTAGGACATATTGTATCTTTATCGTTTTCCAGAGTATACCTATGAATTGTAAATGCTATAAGGCTGGGGATTGAGCATTGTTGATGGAGGAATTTATTAGTATAAGTATTAAATGTCATTTGATGTTTTTCACTGATGGCTCAGTAAAAATGTAAATGTTCGATTGCAGATCTGTTCAAGAGTGAGCACACTGCAGCATCATCAGTGTATTGGGGCTCAACCACTGAAGTTGTGGTTGTCTTTGTTCTGGCAGTGGGCTAAGTTAGTTTACCTTCCATTTAACAATTCACTTTCACTCTAAATAGTAGTTTGTTGGTGGTTAGATACTGTATAGTGTTGTGGTAAGGAATATTGAAAACAGTATTGTGTAAATGACCTTGTTTAGCTATTGTCTTTACTTTGGTAAGACAGTAGTTGGTAAGGTGCTTTACTTCAAAGGCATCTGTCATTGAGAACGATCCTCCAAAGTGCTTTTCATGTCAATTGTGCCTCCTCATGCCTGCCTAATAAACTAGTAGTTCCTAGACCTGGAGCTGGGGAAATTGTTATCCAACCAAACTATTAATCTTTCATGCTGATTATTTACTTAATTTTGTCTGGTTGCTTATATCCACATTCAGTCATACCTTATATCACGGGTATGGTTTTAGCTAATACTGCACACAGAACATTTAACATTTAAAAATAGGCCTCAATTAGAAAATTGAAATCAATTAAACTGTGACTGAAGAACTTAGCAAGGACAAAATTCAGAAGGCATGAAGGTCCCCCAGGACCAGAACACCACTGTTTAAAACATAATGAGCTTGTGGAAGAAGCTTTTCAACAAATGGAAAAACTTAATTCAGTAAGCTCCTCAAAATAATATTTCTTGCAAAGAATAGTGAAACAATCTCTCTGTAATTTCCAGAGGAGGAAATGCTACTACTGTATGCTGTTCCTAAGGTTATATGGAATGTCTAATCCCTGAAGAGGGATTTGTAAAATGTGAGCTATCCTTTCTTGTTTGAAAACTAAAGTGATTTCATCACCTGCTTCTGACTTATTTTGATGTGCATAATGTCCTTCCCACTTTTTGTTAAGATTTTATGAATACCAAGCTCATTCCTAAAATCATGAATGAATACAGTAAATTAATCATGGAAGTGCTCTCAAATTAATCCCTCAACAGCAGTCCTGAATGAGGAGGTCTTTGATACAGTATGTTCTTTCAAATGACTGAAAATTTATCAGTTGAATCAAATCTGGGGGCTGGTTCCTGAGATTTCTCAGAAGATTCTGATCAGATTTCTGATTTTGTTGGTAGAGCAAAAGTCATACCTATTGTGGGGAGGCGAGGAGGTGCTGTATATCTTTCTACTTGATTTCCCACTATTTGATCTTCATGTTGGGGATTATCTTTTGAAACCCCACCTCTACTCAGTGATGATGATTCAGTTTCTTTTCTTCGGAGCTTCTGTAATTGTCAAACAGAAAAGGCCTGGTAGAAACTCAGAGAGTTAATTTGCTTCTGTTGATGATAGTGAACTAGTGAACACACCAATCTGCTGATGAGTTGCTGCTTGAAACTTGAAAGTCTCGTACAAAGTCACTGGTACAAGATTTCTTGCTCAAATGGCTTTTTGAGTATTTCAATGATGTTGCATCAACATTGTTCTTGTTTCAATTGTGACATGGGAACCAGTTTGATGGACGGGACTATACAGATGAGTTGGTGAGAAACAAATCAATTTACTGTAGATCAGTGGATATGAACTATGACATACTGTACAGTAATCGTTCAATTGCCAGTACATAGATTGGGAAATCTGCCACAGTGCCTTGTACTTACTTTTCTGATATAACAGGGTGTTGGTGATGGTACATGTTCCAAGTATTTGACATAGTCAAGGTTGAAGTAAATTGCTCCTTGATTTCTTTGTCAGTGCCAAGAGTCATAGAACACTTACTGAATATAGTGGTATGTCGGCTTTTGGCCAGTTTGAGACATACAGTACAGTTTTTTAACATATGTATGTTGCATTGGCTTCAATATGAAATTCATTTAATTGTTTTATGAGTTACTTTTTGATGTTGAATTCTAATTCTGTGAACTTGGTGTCATCTTTTCTGTTTACCTTTTCATAAAGGTACACCCACCTGCTTGTGCCTGCAGCTACCCATTTTCCAATATCAATTCTTCCACCACAGGACCCTAAACTGCTCTATAGATAAGTTACAGGTGAGGTGCAATAAAACATTGAGAGATCGGAGGATATATGGGCAGAAAACATTCAAACTACAATTCCAGACTTTGAGAAGGGGGCATTAGAAACCTCTGAGAGTATTCAGAGATTGTGGAATTATTTTAGTTTTCCATCCCAGGTAAACTATTCTATCCAGAATGTAGATTGGCCTTTCTAAAACATGTTTTCTTCAGGCTTGGTTTCATAGGTACTGTAGTATCCAGTCAGACCTATTCAGTACATACTGTAGCTGCACTGTGCTTACAATTAATTACAGTTAACTAATCTAAAATTGGCAGGCTTTCTAGAAAGGATCTTAGGAACTTGATAGAACAAGTAGAGAATTTGATCCCTGGACAGACTGTATAAAAGAGGACCAGCTTGAATAGCTCCACAATATACACGTTGCTCAGATAAAGTAAACTAAAAAATAGTTGTTCTGTCTTTCCTGCCAGAACTGTGTGTCTGTTCAAGCACAGAATAATGAAACAACAGAAACTAACAAAGGAGAAGGGAACAGCTTGGATGCTGGCCATTCGCCTAAAACACCACCAAATACGCCTGACCCCAGGACTCCTCCAAACCCAGACACAATAGCCCCAGGTAGGTAAATATAACCTTAATAACCTACTTAAAGTTACAGATGGCAAACAATAGTCTGATTCACATCTTGATAGCATAAGTTGATGATGAGAAAACAATGTATTAATTATATACAGTAGCCCTCCTATTAGGGGAGATGATTCAGAACACCTACCATAATAATGGACAGTAGTGAACTGTACAGTATGTCCCAAGAAGCTAACTGTGTATAAAACCAATGCAAACACTGTAAAACACTGTTTTCCTGCTTTGCTTCGTTGTAACTAGTTTAACTATTTACTGTAGTGCACACAAATGCTAGCACTGCCAAGAGCAGTGTTATTTAGGAAAGAAATTATGATGTTTAGAGAGCGGAATTCAGTCAGTAGGATTATACAAATAAGAGTTTTGTGACAACAAAAGTAGAGGGTGTGTAATCTCTTGAGGCTGTGATGGGAATTTTTTGGATAAAGTATTTGGATATCAACGCTCTGATATTTGGACAGAAGGCATGACAAACGTTTCCTGTGTATCCCTTGCCTCCAAGAAAATTATTTTTATCTCTTATGTTATCTTAAGCAAGTTTCAGCACAGTGGTCTCTTAAGAGACAACGAAAACAGTTGTAGAGCTCCATGGTATTCTGTGGCAGCATGGACAGGTTTTCTAGCACTAATCACCCCCACTGGAAGATAAATACACACAGAACTGTTTTCCTGTATCATTATTATGACAGAAAAAAAATATTACTACAGGCTAACACAGGGGAAGCCAAGGAACACTAAAACAAATTTATATTAACATCAAAACAAGTGCTCCACTTCTATATTTCTATATTATATGGAAACAAAATTACACATTTTATTTAATTGTAATTTTATGTGTTAAATTGTTTGTACTTAAGTGTAAATTTATCATTTACTGAACTTTATATTTCATCATTTGAAATGAAATATAAACACATTTATTTCATGCTTCCACAAGTTTTTAAATGGCAGACATCTTGCACATCCAAATAACGTCAGGTTAGAAATATAAAACCAGTGAGATGTCTAATGAAATGAAAATCATGTTTGAGGAAAAAAAAAAACATTTCCAGAGTCATGCACATTTCAAGAAAAAATAAATCTTGCCCAAGAGGGAAGCAGTCAGTAGTGCCTTCCTGTTTCCTTTACTACTTAGCAGAAGACACGCAGGAAAATGATTGTGTAAAGTGACTATGAGGGATAGACTTTAAGTTGCACTTTTTGATTATAGGATGTAAAAATCTAGTAAACAAACATTGAGATCTTAAGCCGATTTGACACTGATATGGTATTTCATTCATTCTTTACAGATTTTATTTAGCAATCTTTAAGGGAGGTAGCATCTATTCTTGTGTGTAAACCACTCCAGAAAAGAAAACAACTATAAAAATGTAAACTAATATGTAATAATACATGGTTTTTCCTTCAGGTCTTCTCTTTGGAGTAAGTCTCACCAAGAGATTTTGCTTTTCTTCATCTTTAACTCATCCAAGCAATATAGATTGTTCAATATGTAGCTTATGAAACTCCTGCTTGAGATTTTTCCTTTTCTTGCTCTGTCCACCACACTGAATGGTTCATTTAAAGGGAAACAAAAATACTTTCAGTTTCTATGTCTTCTGGAAAGTTCAAGTCAAATTACAGGTCTGGGAAATGTGATCCACAACTTATGGACTCGTTATCAGTTCCGCTCTATAACAGATATTACTTCATTTGCATTTAAAACAACAGACAGATGTGCTGTACAGTATGTGTTCTGGGCTATCTCTCACGTTTTGAAAGGGTATTATATATGAACCCTGAAAGTACTTTAATCAGTACATATGGTATAGATTAGATGCTTTCTGTATTTCAAGTTGTAGGAATCATAAGCTATTGTAATGGTGCCTAGTATCACACTTACCCTGAGACTGCCTGTTACCCTTTTCCTCATGTAGGCTATGGAGGGCCCTTGAAGGACATTCCTCCAGAAAAGTTTAACACCACAGCTGTCCCCAAATCCTACCACTCCCCCTGGGAACAAGCCATCATCAATGACCCTATTCTGGCTGACACTCTTCACCAGAAAATGCCTATCCCTGAACCCAGACCAGAGGGCCCAGACTTCAAGAGCTTTAACAGGTAAACAAATTACTTTGGTATGGCAATAGAGGAGATGCTTCTGAGATGCTGTTCTCTAACATCATAGTTAATATAATCTAACAAATTAGGTTAAATTTGTTTGCTATTTATACTATTTTATTTTAGTTTTTTTTTAACTTTTACTGAGTTTTAATATCTTTTAGAAATATGTTTCAAAAACATGCCCCTGTTGGAAAAATAAATTGCTTGGGAAAATTGCTTCACTGAAAATATCTAATGTATTATATTATGCATCATGATACAAAGTACAATATGTTGGATATTTTAATTGAAAACCGCCCTGGCCTGTGGAAATGAGCATCCTTGAAATAATGTGCTTATGGTTTAAATATCAACCTTCTGCAAGAGTGCTTGCATCCTGCCCTGCTTCTGATATAAGGCCAAACTTCCAGAAACCAAATCTCATCTTTATATCAATGCTTACAGCTTTAATTTCACAAAGCTCTGAATGTTTCAGTTAGTGATGGATCTTATTTATTTTATCTTCAGGGTTGCTACTCCATTTGGTGGTTTTGACAGAGCCTCCAGACTTATAACCTTCAAAGCACCAGAAAAGGATTTCAACCCCATTATTGCAATTCCCAAATTCTCTGAACTCCAAGACCAGGTTACCAAGCGTCCAACTTTCAACAGGACAGCCCAGGGGTGGGTCTCAGATGGCAGCCCGGCTGTCATCCCTGTGGTGCCTTTGGAACCCCTCGTCCCTGAATCTGATGACCTATGATCTGTGAACTTGATGAATGTATTTGATTAACAAGCAAGAGTATCTGTGTACAATGGACCTGATTTGCCAAAGATGGAAAGAGCTTTACTAATGGATATAAAGTAATGAGTTTATCTTAAGTGATAAGGTATAGAGATTATCTTATTTTGCAAAGCTGAAAGTGGCAAATTTGCACATTCAGAATTTGCTTTATTCATTAGTAGACATTCATTAGTAGACCCTTTATCATCTTTTGAAAAACAGAGTCTCAATTATATATGACAATATGCCACAGCTATATTTTTCATGCTGAAGCACGATCTCATAAAAATGAACGAGAAAAGGTATTGTACTTCTGTTTTCCAAACATCTGCATTGAATCACCTTTCTACATGCTAAAGATATATTGGCCATAAAATTTAAAGTTCGGAATTGAATCCTCTATTGAATTAAATGCAAAACAATATGTAAATATGTTGTATGTACTGTATGATCATCAAAGCATATAGAATACTTAGTGCTTTTGTGTAAACAACAAAAAGCAAGTCTAATTTATGTACTGTACGTCTTCAATGCTGTTGCTGAGAGATAATCTTTTAGTTTGCTTTACTGTGTTATGTTCTCAAGTTATCACTATGGGTCTGTATATTGCATTTTATTTAAAATTCGTGGAGGTGATTAAGCTGGATTTTGTGTGAATTTGTATTTATTATTTTTGAAAAAAAGTAACAGCACACAATAACAACGCTGCATAGAAAAAACATCCTATTTACTTCCACACCCACCTTCCCTCATCCTTGAAAACATCCCCTGATGTTAGTACATCTCCCCTCCCTACACAAGCAGCATCTTCCTCAGTTCACAACCCCAGAGGTCCAAGACCTCCAATACAAATAACCAAGAATATAATGTAAACTGTACAAGGATTTTATAAACCAGTTTATGATTGTTTCAGAAAGTATGAAAGAATGTGAGCAACACAGTGGTGGACCTTTTGTGCAAAGGATTTTTATTTCATTTCAGTTTTTGGTCTTGGTTATAATTGTTATATAGCATCATCATCAACAATAAATGATTTCAAGTCAAATACATGAATATACTGTAGCATGCTTAATTCTGAAACCTAATAAGTAACATGATAGATTTATTTTTTTTACTTCATGTTTACCACAGTCAAACAATCTGTATCAAGTGCATCTTAAGTCAAGTGTTATTTCTGCATTTAAAGTAAAGACTACAGTGACCCATGACAGCATGGATTAATCATCTTTATGACAATGTGTGTTCTTTAGTGTTGGTGTACCAGGCATTGGTAGTTTGTTATGGTGTCATAATCCTTTGGAACCTTAAAGTTGTTGTGAGCCCATTGGTTCATATGACTTGCCCTTTGCCTTGGCTGATTTTGTCTGCCTGCATGCTATGAGAGATGGTGGGCTGGATTCTGGTTGGTGATGAACCACACATGCAACATTGTAAAGAAGGCTTCTTTCTTCAGAGACCATAAGAGACTGGGGTCACAACTGTATTAGCAGTACCATTTTTCTCACAGCTCTTATTCAAATCCTCCATGCTGTTTTTTCCTTTCCTACAGTATAATTAACTTTGTCACTAGATGAAAACCACAGATAATTTGGCTGGTGTGAATATTAGTTTCCACAGCTCTTTTCTGAATGACTCAGCCAACCATAAAGGGATATGATATAATGTGCAGTTTAAGTTACCAGGCATTCAGCTTCACAAAGAGTGGAACATTGCATTGGACACTGATACATCAGAGGTCACATACTAAATATACAGCAAACAGTGACAGCTTAGGAACAGATGCACACTTCAGTGTTGTTCTGCAAAGAAGGAACTCCCTTTTCTCAGACAAGTCTCCTTCTTATTTTCTAGGGAGGTTTATATACAGTATGAGTTGTTTTTGCTTTTTTTAATTTGCGCCCTGTTTATTTTCAAAACAAGCAAAAACAATCGTGACAGATTTTTTTTCTTTAAAACATATAAAGTGAATAATATATTTGGAAACCTTTTTTTTTCTTTTCAGCAAATATGCATGCCAGTATTCAGATGAATACTTATACTGTACATGATGTACTCACATATTTTTTTTAGAAATGGTATCAAAATAAGTATAACTGAACACCACAAGATCAAGAAGAGGAAAACAAATATAGGAGTGGAATTTGGGAGAAGTGCAATTTAAAAGTTCAGTGTACAGTAACTCCGGTGTAATTTTCTATTGCAGTCTTGTTTCAGGTCTGGGGCTAATTCTCAGCTATTACACTGTTTTTGTCAGTGGTGTTTTAGAACTATGTGGCCACCTTAGAATATTTATTGGCCCTAAAGATCCTGCAAATTTCTCACAATGAACTGACCTTTTTCTTAATTGTTGATAAATACAAACTGTAAGCACATGTTCTTTAGAAACAGGTGCTATTACCTCCTCCAGCAATATCATCATAATTACAACAAGTTCAGGTGGGTAGCTGCATCAGCATGCGTAGGCTGCAAAGGAACAAGTAATAGGTTTATTCCATGCTGAAAAAAAGAAGAAAGAGAACACAACGTTTCAGCCGTGGACCCTTCTTCAGGTTGCGCTGAAGCCTCTTTCAACATTTGTAAATATTTCCATTACCAAACATTTTCTGCATTATAATTCTTATCAACATGGAAACTGTTTATTAATCTAGTTCTAAACCAATATTAAACTGTAGAAATTAAATGGCCACCTGAAGAAGGCTCCACGGCCGAAACGTCGTGTTCTCTTTCTTCTTTTTTTCAGCATGGAATAAACCTATTACTTGTTCATAATTACAACAATATGTTCTATTAGTTATTTTACTGTATATGGAAACTGGAATGTTTTATCTATTTGGCCTCTTTTAAAAAATATCCATAGAAACAACAGGGAATGAGCACCTATCTTGCACCTATCTCATGCACCTATCTTGAATGACTCAGTGACTATTTCTGATGTGAATTTTACAGACATGTTCTACACAACATACTGTACTGTGAATGAAAATGTCCCTTCTGTACTGGCTAATCTACAAAGCCCATGTGAGGAGTTAATACTGCAGCAAACAAACAACTGAGCACATCCACCTGATCAACAGTCAATGATCATAGAACCCTGTGCTAAACAATCCAGTTAGGTATTCTACCATATAACAATAGTCTTTAGATATTTTTCTGACCAAAATTCACTTCCAGACTTGGTTGTAGGGAATGGAAAAACCAAACCACTCTGCACATGGACAAGTACTGAAGTGGGTTGTATACACTTGGTGGGGCAATATCAATTACTATGCTACTGTGTCACCCTACTCTCTTAGACTGAACAAAAATGGATCTTGAGAAAATGAAACTGGGTTTAAAAACCCAGTTTTAAAAAAAGTTAGAGTTCATTGCAACTGGTGAAAAAGGCAGGTGGGAAAGATTTCTTAGTATAACTAAAAAAATCTAAAAGAAAAAAAATCTGAATCAGCGTGTTTCTTTTTTTTCTTTGTAATCTGTTTAGCCATGTTTACATCAGGCCTTCTCTAAACTTATGTTGGTTTATTAAAATGTATTACATTTATATTTATCATGGTTAAATGACTACAAACTCACTTTTCTAACCCATTTAGGAGACATCAGACTTTATCTGTTCTTCAAAAATAATCTTATCTTCAAAATAATAATTTTGTTACCTTTGGGAATGTTTTGTCAGATATTTTGTGCTTCACTGCAATGTAGCATTAATCTTGAACACAGCAGCAACTGTTATTTTGCGCTGAAGCCTCTTTCAACATTTGTAAATATTTCCATTACAAAACATTTTCTGCATTATAATTCTTATCAACATGGAAACTGTTTATTAATCCAGTTCTAAACCAATATTAAACTGTAGAAATTAAATTGAACGGCAGTAAGGAATCTCAGATACTTTAAATATAGAACCCACATATGACCTGATGGTATCATGTTAGATCTATCAGATGACACTTACAAGTGTAAAGTACAGTACTTACTGATGGGACTGATAGCACACTTTAGTATGCACACTTTTTTAACATAGCCAAGACATCAGGGATAACGCTCTCACCCTTATGAACAGTGCCGGTGGATCTTCAATGATAAAGTAGTCAGGACCTTGTTTTAATGTGTCTTCCTTGTTTCCTTTCTTGTTTCCTGACTCCATGCTGGAGCACTGATTCTTGGCCAAAGAGAAGTGAACAAGTAATAGATTTATTCCATGCTGAAAAAAAGAAAAGAAAGAAAACACAACGTTTTTACTGTGGATGCTTCTTCAGGTGTGTCTTCAAAGAGAAGTGTACCACTTACTGGTCCACAAACACCATTTACACCAGCAGCTTAGTTCGGCTTACAGCTCTCTTTCCTTTTCTTCCTTGCTTAGCTTCTGAAATGTTATGAGATCGGGGTTCAAGATAGTATCACTGCTGTCAACAGGCACATTAACTCAATCAGATACATTTCAATTACTAATAAAGCCTCCTGGTTCAGTTTACAATCAAACATAAGCATTACACACCTCAACTAACACTCTTGCTAGAAAATTGTATTGTAATATTTAAAGGTATGCACTGTTAGTCCATTGTATAAATACACCATATTAAGCTTATTTTAGTTTTCAAACAATACACAGAAACTCAATTAACAAATGGGAAAACATGCTAACAAAAATGAGACCCGTTTTAAAATATTTTAAAAATGCCTGATGTACTGTACATAAAGAAGAAATATCAATTTATAAGAGAAGTTTTTTTAGTTATAAATGTTGCTAGTTACCAAAATTTTAAATATATGTTGTTTTAGTTAGCGAATAAAAGAAGACTTACTATATCTAATTCATATGATTTCAAGACCTTATAAGTGATTTATGTTGCTGTGCTGATTACAAAATATTTTTGAAGTGTTATGATTTATTGTTTAATTAGCAACAATTAATAACCAATCAAGGATGGATCCTTTTTAATGGATTCTATTTGAAAATGTAATGATTACTCAGTCAATCAAGCTACTTTAAACATCACAATTATTTTGTTTTTTTATTACATTTATCTGGGGTCCAGTTGTCACATGTGAATTACTGTGATCACTGTAGCATGTCACAAGTAGTGTTCTATGGCATGAAAAGTTAAATAAAGAAAGGTTGCTAGAAAGCCACATTTGGTCTCTGCATCAATGTTAGTGTCAGCCAGCCTCTAACATGTCTCGAGCTCAGTAATGGAGCTAAAGTTCTTAAAACACACACACTCAAAATGCAATTGTAAAAAGACACAGATAACTAATTGCTTTAAATATCCCGTACATTCTACTATAGTCAAACTGAAATATGGAGATATGACTGAAAACATTTAATATCGAATCTAATATTAATATCTAACCTTACAAAACTGATTTGCTTGGGCTCACCCAGGTTTCGAAAATATCATGTTTTAGAACAAAAGATAACATTTGTGTCATTGTTGAAACTTTCAATTTACATTGACATCCTTGAAATAAGAAATGCTTCTCATTTTCGGAGACTAATCTTTGAAGAAGCTCTTTTGCTTTATTGCAAAGGAAATGTAAAAGTTAAACATTGTTAGGAGAGACTTCCTTAAATAACAATGTTTAGCTTCTTTGTTTCCTGTTTGAAGACCGATGGCTCTGTTCTCGGAATATGCGACTGCATTCATATTGGCAGAGGCACAAAGGACTCTTCTAGTTGTCTTATTAAAACTTAAATAAAAATTGTGATTCAATAGGTGGCTGTGTTCTCTGAATATCAGTCTTTGCCCTATTTTATAAGCCTCTTCCAGTCATTCATTGAACAATTCACTCTTTCTTACTCATTTCATCCTTTCCTAACAGCACTTCAAAAATATCATGTGGAGGGGTAGCAGAGGCTTAAGAGAAAATTCTGGTTTAACATATTGAAATCAACAATGTGACAATAAAAATGCAATTACTGTACTCCTTCTGCTGCTGTGGTGCAGCAATAATTAAATCAGGAGGCACAGGGGAAAACAGAACATTTAAAATTAACATAATACTTTTAAAAGCTTTTTACCTCACATGATAAAAAATATATATTTTCTAAAGTTCTTAAAGTTCTTAATTACGAACATTAGTTAGATCTGCATGGTGTATGTTCTCCTTGTGTTTGTGTGGGTTTTCTCTCCAGCTTTCTCCCTTAGTCCAAAGACATACTGGTAGATTAAGTGACTTCTGTAAAATTGGTGAGAGTGTGAATGCTTGTG